GAGTTGAAACTAAATTCGATTCCGTCTCTAAGAATGATAGCGTCGGCTGCCCTTTCTCCATTTCTGACACAGCAAGATGAGGTATGCAGCAAAACTATAACGTGATTTTTCGTTTGCATGTTCATCTAATCAAAATGTCTGGGACTCAACCTGTGAAAAATCGTAAGGAAGAGCGAGGCGTCGAAGCTCATCGAAAATTTCAAATCCCAGAATCGGTTATTTAAATACGGCATAAGTCGACGCCATCTGGCGTTCGTCAATCAGCTTGCGCCAGAACCGAAGACGACTCAATAGTAGTAACAAAATCGCACCCCAATTTCAGCGCAACATTAGACATGACTCACTCTGAACCGAATAAACAGTCATGGAGGAAGGTCAGAACATTCATGTAGTCGTCCATGCTACTTGTGAACTTCTTCGATGACTCATTCTGAAACAATGCTATTGAACCCTAATAAATAATAACAAAAAATTATTTCAATTATTTCGTTGGAAGACTCTCAAACAAAGTGCAGAAGACAGTTGCCCCCAAAATTTACCCTATACCCCGAACATTGTTCACCTCATAACATATGTATCGGTACCAGCACTCAAAATGAAAACGGAATTAGAATTGGGTCCAAGGAATTTCCAGGAAGTGATGCTGGTTGAATACCAGCATATCAACAATGAGTACGGCTTAGAAGTCTTACGCTTGTGTCTAGTTTCTGCATTCTCCACAACTGCTGCATCAGGGCGAATCGGAGCGATTTTTTCACAAAAGTGATAGAAAAGTCGTCTCGGAAGAAAGATGATCTGAAATAATGTGACGATTTTCCCAAGTAATGTAGCGGAAACGTCAGTAGGATTTCATGAAAACACATCTATGTCTGATAAGCTACCTTAAAAATCTGGCAAATGACGGCTCGATTTTCAAATGAGTGAAGGTTGGATTGAGTAGCACAGCGGAGACAAGACGATCAAACACCTTCTCGGAAGAGGATAACGAGAAGCACTTTAAATCGAGTGACGACAAAACTCTTCGGGATAGAGCAGAGAAAAAAGTTGCACGTTTTGTGGACATTCGTAAGCATAAGAGAATTCTTATGTTGCCGGTAAGAGAAGACAAAGCGTAGAACAGCCCATTCAGAATATTAGGACTGAGAGATTCTGCCTGTTCCACAATGAGTAGCTGCTTTTCCTGCAATCATGTCTAAAAACTCGAGACTATTTGTGAGTATCGGCGCTACCTTTTCACCATTACTCCTGAGTTTGTCAACAACGTTGAAAACATTCGTGTCGCCAGGTTTAAGCACCACCGTACTGCTAACTTCGCCTTGAAGTCGATTCATAACACCATCGGTTATACGACCCACATCGGAAATGTTACACCGAATTATTGCCATAATCATTTTGCCTGAAATAGAAAACTGGTCTTTCCCGTTAAACGTGTAGTATAAGCAATACTTACGTGAAGTTACTTTGACTTGAGCCTTGTTCTTGTGGTGAATTGTCCCCTCTTCATTATTGAAGTAACCAACAATCTGGAATTTCAGCCTGATTGTTATGTGATTGTAATTGCTCTGTTGGTTTTTCTAATATAGCTGCGCTCTCGATCACTACTGAACAAAATCTTAACTTTACACCCTTAACGTCCAAAGAAAATTTGGATTAAAATACTTCTATTAGTGGGGTGGAAGTGGTATAGTGGCAAGTGGAGCACTATCACGCGTGCATGGTCACGGATTCGAATCCCGAATCGATATCCGCCTAGGCCAACCAGTCCTTCCATCCCTCCGGGGTTGCTAAAGTGGTACCAGACTTGCCTGGGAGGATAAAACCACCGACTTGTACAATGGCTGGCCACTGCAAGTCACTGCAGAGGTCATTTATGCATTCACGCCACTACTATCCTAAATGGAAGACGAGTGCGCGAGCCCATCCCCGTCAGGATTAGTTGACGCCAGAAGAATTTCCTTGCATATGTAGGATCTAGGAATGCCCTCTCCTTAGGTGGATGTGCCAGGAGTGTTTATTAGTCTTCTGCTATTAGGTGTGGTATTTTTATGGCATTTGGTATTTTGGTGGTGTTTTTGATATTTTTGGTATTGGTATTTTTCGTGGTATTTTTTACATCAATATAAGTAGGTGTAATAACAAAAAACCCAAAAAGATACGGGATACGGTTAAAAACTCACGAAACAGCAACATAATTAGGCCAAAAAACAGGAATTACCATTTCTACTAACTCACCTTATCCAAAACTTCGTCGAAAAGCTCTCTTACAACTTCATCGATGACATTGTCGAATTTGTCAATGATAGCAAGGTCTTTCGGAGAAATAGCATGTGATTTCCTTGATAAACATTTCAGTTTTTCATTCCAAAATAATATATATAATTGAAAAAAATTGTATTTCTGCATACCGTTCGTCTCCATTATGGGGAAGTCCAAAGGTTTCTAGAGAAAGTATACCGCCAGAACCACGGGAGTAAGAAAAAGAGCTCATGTAGGATTTCCGGCTTCAGTAATGAGTTTGAGAATCACAGGAAAAGGAACCAAGTATGTACGAGAAAACACCCAGCGGAAATACTGAAATATTCGGCGGTCTTGCTTTGGAATTATTTGAAGTTTCTCATTTGGCGCCGCTGAGGTGTAATGGAGCGCGAGATGAGTCACGGTAGCTCGACCAGTTAAAGGCAGGAGTTGTGTCTCAAATTTAGAGCTACTTCCACAAAACTGTGCCCATGCTGTACGATGGAACAGCGATTGAATAACAAGTGCTATTAAAAGGGGTGGAGAAGCAGTTCGGGTGGAAGAGGCCGCTATTTCCCAACACTGAGCTCTGGAAAGCAGTAACGGAAGGGATTAGCCGACTTTGCGAGCCCATGCTGGTGCTTAGGAACGTCTCCTAGCTGAACAAGTTCAGTTCATTTCGACTAATCCTTAGAAGGGGAGGAGTACGCGGTGGGTGAGCCAACTGGATGTCCAATTCTTACCTTCACCCCAACTTCTCGAAGAAATCAAGTGCATGTCGTAGATGACCTTTGCCTTTGCTCCTCGAGATGCACTAACTGTTCCGTCAGGACGACGAAGGGAAGGCATTCTGGTTTTGTAGCAGAGGAAGCTCTCCCAGACTTTGCCGACTAGAACTGCTGCTTTTTGCCGGGCCAGGGCCCTGTCTTACCAAGTGGACTATGCAGCTATACAAATTCATATGTTAGTTAACCATCTCTCGGCATAATAGTGCTCTTGAAAAGCCTCAGCCAGATGGTATAACTCTTTATTCGACCAACGTTTGGCCGTTGTCGCCTTGGTCAAGACCTGGAGGCCAAAAAAATATTTGAGATTCACCAATATCGAGCACCATCTCAGACTGCAGCTTAGTTCAAGTATAACCTACAGATATCTAAAAGAGTCTTGTAAGTCACAACTGGGAATCCACCTTGGAATCAAAACTGCCTATTTCAACGTTTTCGCAGTGGGTGGGCTCCGGGTGACCTGACTTGAAGCCTGTGGCAATTGTAACGCATACAGGTCGAGGAACGGGGTGAGTTCATCTGTTATGGCCAGGAATTCGTCTTTCCGGTTTATTTTGGGGTTTTTAGCACCGATCCAGAACACTTACAAAATTTTGCGCGCGGAGGTCGTGGGCTCCTCCTGGCCCAAAATCATGACTGGGAGACTTCAAGCTCTACGTTTTCGTGGCATTGCCCTTAATGATCTCCGAGTGGGGTTTCAGGCCCTGATTTCTTCAGACCAACTAGGTGTCCCTTGATCCTACATATTAAAGGCCGCCTGGTTTCAGCTCTGTATTCGTACCCGCATGCTCGCAAGTGATCATATAGATCACCCCCGACGCCATGCAGTCCCCCTCTCGCCCTTTGGGACAGATGACACGATGTGGGGTAATGCAGAGACGGTCATACAGACGATTTCGAACCTGCTTTTTCTTGAGATTTGTAGGAGGAACGTCGACCACCTGCACCACCACCTGCACCATATCATCATGACCACACTTGCGCAGAGCCGTTCTCACGTCCACAGACCGAGTCCGACACGAAGGGAAGGCAAAAAGTCGCCTTCTCCGAACTTTCGCTTGTATGCTCATGCGGTCTGCAACGGGGGGGGGTCTCCGAGGGCAATGTTCCTTCTTAAGATACCAATTAGTGATGGCCACCTCTTGAGCGGGTTCCAGCGATTCTACTACCTCGCTAATAAACCATTTTTGCTGTTCTAATCATGTTCGCTGTGATAGCCCGCTTGGTTTTGAGAGGTTGTGCCGACTTGAAATGGACCAGGATATTCTTGCTAGTGGGTTTCCTATACCATTTAAAGCTAAAAAGACCCGTTCAAGCTGAACTTGCATGTTGAGGAAAAGCAGCCATTTCTCTTTGGGCTTTCCCCTTGTGAATATGTTATTTTCAGCCAAGGTGTTCAGCAGCTCGTAACACGGGGCCTTTCCCTTCTGAGTTGAGCAGGCGACAGAGAAGTCGTCTACATAACGGCAATAGAGCACAGGCCGGAGATCCAAAACTGGCCTTTCTATTTTTGACATGTAGACAATGGCTACCACTGGTGCCAGCCGCTGGCCCATTGCTAATCCCCTGACTTGCTTGTAGTACTGCCCGGACCACCTGAATATAGTGCAGTGAAGGCATTCCTTGACCAAAGTCTTCACTAGAGAGAGAGGCCGTACATATTTATAGACCCCGCATGTTTAAAAGCTCGTGGGTGGCCTACATGGCGTCACCGTTCGACACGACATTTCGTTATTCCTCCTGAAACGAGCCTCTCGCAATTGGTCGAGGAACCTCCTGGTGTTACTGAGGTGGACGGGGACAAATATTAATAACTGGGTCAGCGCGAGGTTCAATAGGCAAGACATCCTATCGGTAGAACCTCCGACGTTGCTTATGATGGAGCGACCTTGAAAGTCCGAGGGATCGAAGGACGACAGGGTGTTAGGTGAAAGGTTATGTGTTCTTATAAGGGCATGGAAAACTGGGCAAACTGGGAGGTCACACTTTAAACGTGTGACTAATGATTTAGGTAAATCTGCTCTATGTCCTATGTCCAACCAAACCCTGTTTAAGCGGCGGTTTTGTATTCCTACTCTAATGATTGCTTCTCTAGTGTCCCATCCCCTAAGCGCCTTGTGATGGCAGCGTCCAGATCTCTGGCATGAACACGAACTCGCCTCCATTGTCGCTTACGGAAATCTCGATGTTTTCGAAGTTCGAAGTTTTTGGAGCTCGGCAAGTTTAGCTTTTGCGCTGCGGTGATGCTGGGAACCGGTGGCTGGTGGCTATGCCGCCTCAGAATTGAGAAAACAGTCGTCGCGGAGAGGCTGAATTTCACAGCGACTGCGGGATTTGGGTCCTGTGGTCCGGAGAACGCTGAAAGTTTGTCCTCGCTGGATGTTCATCACCGTTCTTTGGTTGGCTTTTTGGCGCAGGTTGTCCTGTAGAGCCTGAAAACCGCTAAGGACTTCCCGCGATACATCACGACCTATCACCTGGTGTAGAACTGGGAGCTGGATAAAACCGATAGCGCCTTCTCAGAAAGACTGATGCCACCTATAGCAGTAACCGTCTTCTCCCACTGGGCCTAAGGACCTAACTGGGTTCGAGGGCGATTTCTGATGACGAAGGACCTTGGTCATTGTTCCCTACGCATACAGTGACAAAAAATACAATTAAAAACATCGATCTACGGTGGGGCTACGATGAATTGAAAGGGAAAAGCTGTGTGACGGCGACCGAAATTCCTTGACTGAACGACAGAGGCTCGACACGGTTGGCGTGACTGTGACGGCGTGGTTGACTGATGGCGACTTAACGGTGATGACGAGACAGTGATGACGAAATGAACGGCTCCAGACAACTACGAGTTCTAGTCTGTGTACTGAGTTTTGCCTCACACCTGCGGAGCCATTCTACGCGACGTTAGAGTTGTTCCTCGCCGGTCACAAAGATCTCACGGGTTAGTCAGTGTTTCGACGGATCGGTGGTAGAATGCTCGATAGAATATTTATGTCAATGTTTATTGGGTCAACAAGTCATAAATACAGTTCGTACATTACAAAGTCAAGCAGTCTGAGGATTATGCAACCTTGTTTGTCTTGTTTCGGAATTGCTGGTGGAACTGAATCTAGAGAACTGTTGGACTGACACATACTAGGCCTTTTATACCCAAAAAATTGGGCGGCTTATATACCGGCCCCAGTGGGCGGTGCATTTGGTGAATGGTATGGGAACCTACGAAATTCCAGCAATTTTGTACTTTGGCGGGGAAACAGGCGAAGTTTCCACATTTTTGGAGCCTCGCCGCAAGTATTGATTGATTGATGAAGGTGTTCCTGTGATTCCTCGTAATCGTGACGAAGAGTCATGACACTCCACACGGCGAAGAAGTTATGGAAACGCGCAGGTTTTGCGGTTTGCGTACTCCCCGCCACCTTTGGATCAGGTGATTGTTTTACTTCCGAAGACAAGGTTGTGTTTGCAATCATACACAGAATTAAGTAAAATATGCGTCCAACAGAGACACAGTATCGATATTATACAAAAAGGTAAATAAGTAAGCGGTGTATTATAGTCTATTCAGGTGTCCATTGTGGTCGTGAAGTCGATGTTGTCTGAGCCGCTGGTAGGTGCTACGTCGTGATGGTAGAGATACGGTTTGTGTCGTAGTGTCGTTCGATGATGAGAGATACTAGTGTATCAGTAGTCGTGACGACGCGACAGCCATACAGGGAGGCGAAGTAGGAAGAAGGTAGATGATATTGCTAGTTTGAGAAAGTTATAGACAAGGGGTAGTATTCTCAGTGGGGGAAGTGATGTGGCGAGAATATTAATAGTGGAATTTTTCCTTGTTCTCGTGTTGTTTTTCGAAAGCAGATTGCAGCTGAATGATAGAGCGGCAATGAGGAGTATAAGGATAGTGAGCGAGTATAGCAGGGCATGGTGAGTGCGGAGGTGAGTGTAGCAGATAGTTGAAGTTGGCCGACCAAGAGATGCGAAGATTGGAGGAAAGTACGGAGTTGGGCTTTTATATAAGTAATGAGTATATATACTGGTATGTGAGTGTGAAATTTTATAAGCTGATAAGCGGGTTTCTCAAGCTCGCTTGTTCATGTTGACATTCTTCATATAAGCGTACTCTGACCCTGATCGTTGCACTTTTTTTGCAAAGGTTTTGTTTTTGTTGGATGTTTTCTGTGTGTAATGCGTTCTGGCGTGTTAGTTTTTTCCTAACGATTATGTATGCTTTCTTTCTTTCTTCCTTGCTTACGTTTATTATGATTTCGTTTCGTTTATGTTTATTATGATTTCGTTTGTAACGGTAAGTTGTAAACCTCTTATTTGTTTATTTATTTTTTCTTTTTCTTTTTTTTTGTTTTGTGATGTGGTTTTCTTTCTGATTTTATATGATTGACGTTCCCTCCTTTTTTTCTGTTTTTGTTTTGTCTGTTTTTTTTTGTTTTAGTCTTGTTGTTTCGTTTTTTTTTTGTTCTTTTCGTTTCGTTTGTGATGGTAAGTTTTGAAACCTCTTGTGTTTGTTGTGTTTTTTGTCTTGTTTGTTATGTTTTTTTTGCTTAAACAAAGATTCATTCTATCAAAGTCTATTCGCAACTTGAATAATTAACATCTTCAGTTTCAACATCTTTGACTTGACTGCGGTGATTTTGCTTTTCGGCTTCATCCCCTTTCTCGTTAAGGGGCCAGTTTGTCGTTGATGGGCCACCGGCCCCACACGATGACATGCTCTAGCTGTTGCATTTGCGCTCCAAGGACAGCAGGCTCGTTGTGAGGAAACGTAGTTGTCGTCGTACTATTCGGTCGTGCTGTTCGATTTGCTCGAATATTGTTTGTTGTCGACGTGGTTCTTGAGCCACTCTCTCCATGCTACACAAAGTATTATTAATTGTAAAAATTAAGTTTCGGAGTTGAGAAAAAAAGATTTTTTGAGATGATGAAGTTAATACCTTTTTTAACAAACAGCTTAAGAAAGAAAGGACTTTATTGAAACGTTTTATAAGTAATGAATGTTATCTCGATGTTTCATTGTTCTTGGTTTATTCTCTTCGTCCTCCTTCGTCGGAAAGCCTTCGTCCCTCCACGCCGCTCGCATGCATTCCGCGAGTCGTCCTTCTAGGTTGTGGATCGTGGCGAATGCGAAGGATAGGCATTCTTCATACTCTTGAAGCTTCCTCATATAATCTTTTGCAAATACATTGAGCGGTGACGAGGCCCTATCCGCATATGTTGTGGGTGCGTCGCCGTTGGGGACGGGCGAAGATGTTCGGTCGTTGGCTGACGTTGCAGAATTTCGGTCGTTGGATGACATTGCAGTTGAATAGCAGTA